ACGAGAACGAGTTGATCGGGTGGTGCGGTCAAATAAATACTAAATTATACAAATAGTATTATTTAATTTTTGCCGACGTTTCGACCCAATTTGCAGGTCTTCATCAGGGCGTAGGATGTAGCACTGCAGGGGGCAGTTGAAACACTTACTGTTTCAACTGCCTTCACTGTGTGTTTCAACTGCCTCCCGCAGTGCTACATCCTACGCCCTGATGAAGACCTGCAAAGTGGGTCGAAACGTCTGCAAAAATTAAATACTACTATTCGCATAATTTAGTATTTATTTGACCGCACCCCCCGATCAACTCCTTCTCATATTAAATATGGTATGTTTTGTTGATGGTATGCCTGAATAAATACATGGGGAAGGATAGTATCCCGTAGTTTCTCATTTCGGTCTTGATTCAATTCTTTAGTTTAGAAAAAGAGATCTCCCATCCAACTCCTTTTATGTCACATTATAAGGGACATTAGCCGTAGCCAAAGTTCGTTGTTATGTCCGTGAAAGTCGAATGAAAATGGGAACAAAGAGCAATACAGCGTTGGGCGAATGTTGTTTGTTGTAAATCGCTTTCCAGAGTTCTATTTACGTACCATGCAGCGCCTATTACTAAAATGTTGGATAGAAAATATTGTAGTTTTTGTGTGTCCATCTTTGACGTAGTTTAATTTCATTTTCCAAAGCTAGGACCATTTTGATAAATGTAGTTAGTGATTTTATAAATTTAGTATTGTAAAATTCTGTAATCGTCTGTGAAGATTACATTTAAGATTTTGGAATTGGTAGATATGTCATATATGCATATATATTAAAGGATGCACAATTGATCCTGCTAAGACTGGTTAAACTGTATAATTCTCTGAGCCATATCAATTAAGAAAAATCTGTAGAAGAGAAAGGATTGAAGAATTAGAAAGTATGCATGATGCAGGATGGTCTTTTACTTTACTTTGAATGAGTAGTGCGAAGACCGGATTGATGATTATCTATCATTTTTTTAACATCAATCAGTCTTGTGTATGTTAATTGGTCGAAATGTTTAGAATATATCGGAAGGAGGCTAATATGTATGTAATAACCGTTTTGAAAGATTTCATCCTTCTTTGAGTAGGTAATAATAGCAGTAAATTAGAATGAGAAACATTTGTTATGAATTTAGAAGAGGGATAGAAGAGAAACAAAGAAGATTAAGTTGAGGGGTGAAGGGGTTGAATGGGCCCGTAAACCCTGAGCACTGAGTGCTACTTGACTAGAACAGTCCTCGTGCCTAAATTCAGTTCACTGATCTCTGTATTTCGGTTAGAGCAGCAAATCTCTCGGGGTAACTGACATAGACCTCGTAGGATGTTTAGGAATTATGAGTTAAATACTTGGAAAGGTCAATATTTTTTGATATTATTTCATAACGATTTTTTTATATATGAGCATATAGCAATAATAATATTAGACATGAGGAGAGTTACTTGAGGGACCAGCTTAATTTCAATTTTCTAACGATAACACCTCCATGCTTATAAATATGTTTTTATAATTATTGTGACGTTTTGGAACATCTTTTCCATTTTCAAACATCATTATTTTTATACTTATTACATTTTCACGTATATGTATATTATCATTTTTAATTTTTTTTTATTTACAGTAATTTTAATAATGTTACTAAACTCCGCAATTGTTATCTTTTTAAAATAACTTTTTAAAAAACGCCTACATTATCCTGATCCAAATATTTGTTCCATGAAACATTGGCTTTTGTGTTTTTTTCCCTTCATAATTATTTATGTATGCCTATATCCTTGAGTCCTTGATTTATCAGATTATCAGAACTCATCTTTTAATTTAAATCTTCCATCAAATCCGTCCTTCTGACTTCTACCGTCCTCTTCACCGAACTGCTGCGTTTGATGAATCCTTCCTAACCCGAGCTGCATCCCTATGAAATCTATCCCGTATATCATCTGCCATGCCTCAAATGTTTTCTCGTTCAAATCTCTTCTCTTCAACCACATTTTATCGCCCAGTCTAATTAATATTTTTTTATTTTATACTAAATAACTTTCTCCTGTATTTAAAATGAGTTCATTTTAGTGCGATTTTCCACATACTTATGGTAGTTTGTAATAGTTGGGGATCAATTTCCCAAATAAAAACCATACTTGCAGTTTCCAACAATTGTGCCAGTTGAATTTTTGTTTGTTTGTCTTTTATTAACTCCAGTTCACGCCATAAAGACTGAGATTCCTCAGGTATTAGCCCATTGTACGAAATAACCAACTATTATTATTATTTTCATTTGTTTATTTTTTAAAATATATTATTGTTATTTTAATTACGGTTTAATTTGTTTTTCCTTTACGCTGTATTTTTATTTATATTATTGAGTCCGACCACACTGTTTTGGCCACTATGTAATATTATTTTTATTTTTAGGAACTCTGTCTGAGAATATTAAAGAAATTTTTCATTCCATTTCAAAATTTATTTTTTTTTACAAAAAAAGAAGAATCGTCTATGAACCTTAATCGATATAATAACAATTATTTATTGCAAATTAAAAACAACTATTGAAATAACAATATCTTATAGAACATAGTTTTACATTAATAAAAATAAAACTTAATAGACTAATAAATAACATTTAGTGGAGCTCATTATATCTTTGTTGTAAATTTACGGCTTCTTGTTTAGAAATATTTAGCTGATTTATAATTTGATTGCTGTAAAACTATCAACTAAAATAGACATTTAATTGAAATTGTAATATTTGTTTTAGTAACACAGTTTTTTTAGTAATATATCTGTTATTTTCTAATTTATTTAGGTTTTTATCAGATTTTTCCTATTCTAGAAAAATATATTTTAGCATAAAAATAGCACTTGCACCACTTTATTATAACATGTGTAAAGTAATGCAATTTATATATATAAATAAAATAATTTTTGATTTGATTGAATTGAAATTAAAGTATTCATTAAATTTGAACATGAAATTATTCAAAATGGATTACTACTAACTTATACAAAGTTTCCATTTGAAAATATTTTTTATCTCTATCAAATAAATTTGTAATGTTCTCGGAATCTAAAATGTAAGGGAAATTACAGCATTTCTTCTCCTAAAATACTCCCGTGGAGCCATACAAGCTTCTTTACAAGGCTCATAAAATCGGATTATGTTGGACGTTTACGGTGCTACGAGGCAAAATGAAGGGCTAACCTATATATTTATATACATTCCTCTTTTTTTTTTTTCCTGAAAACGCTAGGTCCAGTATTTCCACATGATCATTTTTTAAATTTTCCTTACTCCTAGGATCTGAGGATATAATGGAAAAATGCCTTTAACAAAGCTTAATTCTATATCCTGATTAATTAATTTCGATGGAATAAATTATTGATGTTAACATGTGGTGGGAATTCGAATAGTTAGATCAACAAAATTAAATTAAGAAATCACTATTTTTTTTTAATGGTTTTAATATATCATATTTTTTAGAACTACAATATTTACCATTGCTTGCATAATACATTTCTTATATATAAATTTATTACAAATAAAACCTATTACATTTATTGGTAAAAAAAAACATTTTTATTTTAAAATTAAATAATACTCTTGTCAATATAATAAAATATAGACTATTCTAGAGCAAAATATGCTTCGTTCTCTTACGTAGAATTAAGCATTGCAAATGGTAGGATATATAAGCGTGTCTTAGAAATATAGTTAATGATATTATTAATAAACTAAAATGAAAATTTTAAAAATAGAGTTTTGAAAAAATTACTATTTTGCGTTTCTTAAGAAAAATAACAAGTGTGGAGGATATTATTGGATATCGTGTTGTGCGTGCTGCACACGTATGACCATGTTGCAACTCCACTTTCATGCTGATTTGATTTTTTTTTTCTTCAATAAACTTTCATTCCTAAGTAGTACAAAACTAGCATTACTCTACGTACTACAGTTTTCATTAAATCATATTTATAATTATTATTATTATAGTGCAACACTTTTATTATATTTAGATTTAAATAAAAGTATATATTAGTAAATTCAGTGAAAGGACCAAATTGTACACTTTATATTTATAGAACTTGTTTTATTTACAAAAAACTTTTTTTTTATTTTATTTTTCATAGCTTCTTAATTAAAAAATAAAATTAGATCAAATTATAGACGGATCATAACAAAATATTCAAATAGAGCAACATGGAATAAATAAAAGAAATGAATTTTCGCTTTATTTAACTTCTTTAGTTTCTTGATGGAAATAAGAGGTGTGAAACAGTGTGGTGAAAGGACATAAGAATTTTTTTAAAACTAGGTATGGAGATTATGAAATCTATAGTATAAAATATATTACAAAACTCTAATTATGATGTGTATGTAATTTAAATAAGGTGTAATAAACTGAGAAAATATTTATAGCAATGTCTTCCACATAGTATGAATTTAAAAAAAAATCATTAAGAAGCATTATATATTCAAGAATTAAATCTCAATAATCTCTTTTATTTTAATATAGTAAATTGGCCTGAAATCATTGAGATAGATTGGTAAGAGTGTCGAATGATAATTGATTTAATGAGTATATTTTACGGATAGGACCTGGAAATAATGGATAAATAAAATAATCTATAATTCAGAGATATGTAAATAATGGATCAAAATGTATTGTGGTTACATTGTAAATTATATTATAAGGAATCATATTGTATGAATATGAGCAGTATGTAATTATAGTATATATTTAATATTGTAAACATTAATAAACGCTAAAAGGCTTTAACTGTCTCCAGTACAGCTTTGATAATCTTTTTATTTGGTTCCTGTTGTAATTATCAAATTTGGATATATAACATTATTATTTTTGTTATACTTTATTTTAAAAACTTTCAAAAAAGATATTTTCCTGGAAGAAAAGTAACTGAAAGAGTAAACTTTAACCACAACAATAGTTTTCCTAATACTATTGTGTATTGAGGAAACTTCTTACAATCCTCGCAGTATTCAGCAGAATAGCTTTCTGGGCTTCATTTATAATGGCTGTTGAGAAACCCAACTTCTCAGTAGTTCCCACAGTGGATACTGATATCAGACCATTGCTGGAGATCACTAAGGCCCTAACAGTTACTTTGTTCAGTCTGCATAGGCCTTTCAACTCAGCTTCTAGAGCTTAATAATTCCGATTTTTTTTCCCGAACAGACTGAATTAGAGTTTCGATCGTTTGACACAGCGATATCTATTATTTCAGCAGTCCTCATATTGATATTCATTGAAACGATATCTTGTCTGTTGTGGATTACTGTATGGTCAGTTATAAATGACTGATTCCAGTACAGTTTAATTCCTTCCTTCTGGATTAGATCTTTAGATTGGTATTTGTGATAAGGCATCGACTCATTCAATAGTTTTGTTTTATTATTATTATTATTATTATTTATATTCTTATTTTATAAAAAAAATCAACAAATTTTGATTGGCTAGTACTATTAAATTAACGAACATTGAAAATAGTTGAATTTTTAAATTCGTTATTAAAAAAAATATTGAATATATTTTTTAATACTGGCATTTATGTATTTTTTATTTTATTTCAATATTTAATTGAATATTAAAGAGTAAGAGAGGCCTGCTCTAGGACGGTAGGACCATATCTCCATATCAGAAGGCGATACACACCTGACAGGAAAAATGAATATTCATAAACACATTGGAGAGGCCCTACCGTGGAAGAGAATTTCCCTTCAGTGGGGGGCTCCTATGGAAAATATTATCATATAAGGGCTGATATGTTTTGAAAGAGGCGGTGCCATGATGATATGATGATAGGAGAAGGGGCGCCTGGGGTGGCTGCTTTATCGGCCCGGCTAGATAACACACACCCATCTTTGAGATAAGGCTGCAGCCCTGCACGGGGGATAAACCATGCACTTGGAGATTGTCATCTCCGGTTCACACTTCATATATATTGAAGGCCCGTTTCTTTAGGATCTTATAGTGGCGTTGTTTGTACTCTTTAACGCCTTTGCATGTTGTAAGGTTCAGTGCGTCATGTTTTATGGAATTTCTCATGACAGTCTGAGTACGAAACAAGGCGTGAAAGGATGGGATTGAAATTGAAAAGAAAAGCTTAACTCAGCAAATATTTTACCTCACTCTTTAGAGGGTAACACCTAAACTTTTTTTGGTAAAAAAATTATTGTTTGTCTACAAAGGCCATTTTTTAAAGAAAAATTAAACATAAAAATCAACTATGTTAATTGTAATCTATTAGATTTAAAAAAGTTTTACATTTGGGGCAAAGGAATTTAATAGAATAAGAGGTAGCTCAATAAACAGCAATGACTTGCATTCACTGTCGTACTGGGTCTAATTACCTGAAGGCATATCTATTCGATTAGTTGGAATGACGTTCCCTGGTGTGATTGATTTCCAAAAATCCTTAAATCTAAGCTTCAATCACGAGAAGTAGAGCGGAGACTAAGTTAAATTGGTAGGGAGGCTAGTTTACCTAGGCCTCACAACCAATGTACATTCCTGATATTAATTTTAAATACATACCTTTTCATATCCCTAATTTATATTTTTATAAAAGATCTTCATATATTTTTTTTTCAAATAATCAAATGAAAAAAAAACAACAACATAAAACTACACATTTTATTTATAGAAAAAAAAAATCAATCTTTAACTGTTGTGAATGATATTTGTCAGTTCTTTTTCTAATTTTTTCAACATATTTATTATTTAAGCAATATTTTCCCTTATTTTTTTTAAGTAGTTGAACTTATATTTTTCCGACTCTTGTCTAACCGATTTTCGGGCACTAGGAAGTAATTATTATAGCTTCAATTTTTTCTTGTTGTCCAATGCTATAACGAATATTTTTACTTTTAAGTGCACAGTTTTGTCTTAAGTTTATATTTTAATTTACATAATTTGTGTAAATTCTAATTTAGTACTTGACATTTTTTACTTCTATTTGACAGGTTCAAACAAACAATTTTTAAATTGGTTCATCGCACTTAAACAGAACTATAGATACAATCTAGCGCCATCTTATCACATCTCACAAAAAATTTATTCAACAATGATACCTAGTAGATGTCTGAATTTGGCGGAGCTTTGACAAGTTGGTAAGTTTGACTAAGGGACTTGTGTAGTTTGTTTGCCGAAGTTCCAAACATCACCTTCTTGTCAAAACTAGTTAGAATACAGCCTTGCTAAAATAAGACTCTGAGACTTGGCTGGCATCCTTGTAGGATTTTGTTTTCAGCATATCTTGGATACACTCAAAATATAATGATAAAGCTAGCTATAAGAGTAAGTTTGAATTGCGCAGTACTCACGGTTGCTCCAGGATAGCCTAGGTCCCCAGTCCGCCCGGGGGGTCCCGGGGGACCAGGTTTGCCCCGGCGCCCCCTTTTCCCCCGCTCTCCCTTCTCGCCTCCGCCAGGTCCCACTGGTCCCCGCTCTCCTCTAGGGCCGGGCGGTCCTTGGGGCCCTGGTTCGCCCTTCTCTCCCGGGGTTCCCTACAACAACAAGCAGTGCTATAATGAAAGAAAAAAAATGCATAATTATAAATATGTTACAAATTGAATATATTATTACTAAATAATACTAAAAAACGTGTGAGATATTAGATAAAGAACAGCTTATTTTGACGCTCCTGAGCTTATTATGGGGCATGTTGATTGTGACCATACCTTGTATTCGTGTGTTAGTATGTCTGTGTAAGTTATCGCAAAATCTTTAAATGTTGAATCTTGTTGAACGCTGGCATGGAAGATCTTTATGAGGAGTAATGTTTGTGGGGTTCCATGTAGCTTTAGTTACAGTTCTGAAAGTTTTTGACTGAAATATTTGTAGTTTACATATGTGGGTCTTTTTGGCTGTCTGGATATTTTAAATTATAACCTTCACAGTTCTAAATACTTTTTTTCGTTGTTTCTTAATTATTTTCCATTTTGAAATACTCATCGCTTATCCGATTGAATAATGACGTAACAGAGGAAAAATAATTACATATAATTATTTGTTATCATATAAATAACATAATTTTTAAAATTGATTCTACACCTGTAAAATTTTCCTATTCAACTTGATAAGAGTCATTTCCAAAATTTTACAGTTACTTTGTTGTTTCACCGGATGAGTGATATTATTTAGTTGGTTATAATAAATTTATTTTTTATCTATAATTATACATTAATAAGCTTTGAATGTATTTACGGAAAAAGAGCTAAACATTAACATTGACTAACATATCGCATTTCAAAGATATGAGTAATTACTTGCATTTTTTAATTGATCGTTATTGTTATAAATCATATTAGTTTAACTAGGTGTGTTTTAATTGTTATTTTTTTAAATATATAAACTATTTTTTCCACAAATACGTTTCCCTATAATATATGAAATATGTGATTCAATAGGTTTTTTTTTTCTTTTTATATATGTATAAGGACCGTTTAAAATATGATTCATAATTATAGGATATACAATGGTGTTAATTATAGCCAGTAGCGGATCCAGGATTTAATTTTGGATGACCTCTTTTTATTATTATTGCGCTAATTAATAGCGAAAAAAAATCTATGAAATGCTTAGTGCAAGAGTCTCGCAACGATCTTTCAGTTACTTATTAACTTATTACTATAGAGATATTACTGTCTTTTTTTAGATAGGAGAAACCTCACTAAGCCCGAATGAAAAATTAGAAGAGATAAATGCAAAAGTATATTGGTTACACCAATTATTAACATATAATAACTAAAATTGTGGAGTATTAATAACTATTTTGCCTTAATTTTTATTTAAAAAATCGATTTTTTTTTACCAATCCCGGTATTGGGCTTGCAACAGTTAGGCGGCCTTGGTCTTGGTCTTGCAAAGTGCAAGATCAAGACCGATTTTGAGCAACACTAGAAATGCTGCTCACGTTGTCTTTGAAAAAAAATAGTAAAAAATTATTAAGGGATGATTACTAGAACAATAATTCTTTTGCAGATAATTTTCTTATTTTTTGAGGAGTTGGTCAGGGGTGCGGTCAATATATAATACTACATATTATAATAGAATTTTATTCAATTTGCTGTTTCGAGTGCAATTGTAGGTCTTCATCAGGGTCTCAAAAGATACAAACTCTAAGTATTAATTGATAAAAGTTAAAAAAAAAAAAAAAAGATTGTAGTATCGGTAGATATTAAAAAAGAAAATTGTTGGTAACCTTAACCTGTTCTTGTTTAGTATCTGCTGATAATTAATTTTATTTGTATTTTTTTTTAACCTTGTACCAATTAATATTTATAGTTTATATCTTCTTACCTGATAAAGACCTGGGTCGAAACATCGGTAAATTCAATAAAATGCTATTGAAATATATATTATTATATATATTGATAGCACCACCGAACACCTAATTTATAATCCCAACGTTTCAAATTCTAATTACGGTAAATCATCTTCACACCATTATAATTTTCTAATGTTTCTTCTTGACGCTTTATAATTTTGAAAAAGAACATATTGTGATCGTGTAGGTATTATAGCTTAGATCACTCACATAAACAAAAAAACAACAACACATAAACATAAAAAAATAACGATAATGCTTCCCTTTCATTTCCTGAAAAATAACTAATTTTTCTTTATTTAGGAACAAAATTTTTCAAACTCATTCTTAAGCATAATTACACATATAATACATAATTATTAATTAATGCTTAAAGTATAATTTTTGTTTTCATTTGGTCTAAATGTCTAAGCAATGTGCCTCCCACAGCCCCTTCGCTCTAGTTTGTATTATTGGTTGTATTGGCGTTATTAACGGTTTCGTTTCGTCTCTTGATGTATTATTCATGTAACTGTATTATTATTTAATGTAACTGTGAAATCCTATCTATGTAATACAGTTATCGCCTTATACTTGAACCCAGAGTACAAAGGGCAGATAGCGAAGAGCGGTGAAGACTGATGGTTTATTGACGAAGAAGGGGATGCGGGCGATAAGTCAATAGAGTGGGTGCAATACTCTCCCAATGAATCTCTTTATTGCCAGCCCTGTTTGATTCAGAACAGAATCCGTTTCAGGTTCGATAGCCTCTGTTTGCGTCCCTCGACATTATACTGGTGGATCAAATTTCGTGTTACCGTTATATTATTTATTTATACTAGTCGACCCGTGCGAATAATTCGCAAAAAATATTGGTCTGTGAACAAATCACAAAATAACAAGGAAGTAAATAATTCAACGTATCACAAGATGATGGAATCCTTTCCCATTTTTACAGAAATTGTAATCGACCAAGTAGAAGAAAATTGTTATAAAATAAACCATCCTTCACGAATTACAACTGTATCTCAGCTAATACTGGTACGATTTAGATGATTTTTTTTTTCAAATATAGGAATTTTAGTAATCTTTCAAATAATGATGGGAACAATCAACAAAAAAATGGGGTAGCTTAGATCCCATTTAGTGCAACAAATTTTTATTTTTGGATTGCTATGGAAATTCGTATTTGAAGGTTTTTCGAGGTGCGAAATACAAAAAATCTCAACTCTGTTTCTCCTCAAAAAAATATTTGAATCCACTTTGCTCCTTCGTTTGGCAGAAATGGTTTCAAACTTGTACAAATTCCTGATCGATTTAGATGATTTTATTTTTGTTTTGTAGGGAATTTAGTAATCTGTTAAATAATCATGGGTATTGTAAGAAATATAAATTAAAATTATTATTATTATTATAATGAATTATAGGGCAACTTATTTACAGTATGTTGTATGTGAAACATCACAATGGATATCAAATATAAATCTATGTTTTAAAACCCATTTTTCTCTAAATTTAGGTATGATTATTAGATTATTTTTTCGTAATCTATTATAATTTAAATAGAACAAACCTTAAGTTTCTTAAAAATAAACTAACGTTTCAAAAATTAGGATCAATATCTTTCAAGTTAAAATTAACTTTCGTTATTTAAAACGAACCTATTACTTTACATACTTGACTTAACATATTCTTCTAATTTATTTTGCACTTTAAGTTATAGATATCAATGAATTTATTTTAAAAAAAATATTAAATATATAATTAATAATAAATTAAACTTTATATGAGCTCAACAATTTTACTATTTCGTTTATAAAGCTTTTGGTAAGATGTTTTAAATGCGAATGTTATCCACATTCAATGAGTTGTTGTTTAAGCCTCGCTGGGCTTAGATCAAATGGTGAAATAATAATGGTGCAGTAAATATGAGACATACATATATACATGTTGAAATTTTATCGTATGAATATATATATATCAAAGTCAGTGGGCAGCGATAATACTCCTACAAACTGGATTATTTCCTGTTTATATAACCTCGTTGACAAAATGTATTAAACCTACGCTACAGAAAGAAACAAAAGCGTGGGTATAAAGAACTCTACGTCAGGATCATCCCATTTAAATCTCATCTTAATTTCAGTATTTTAGGTTATTAATTAATAATCCCTATGTCCGCAGGCAGCTCCGTATTTAATTTAGCAGAATTATTATATAGAGAAATTCATTTTATATATCATAGTTATGATTCGAAAATCATGTAATTAGATTCGATGTAGTGGAAATTATATATTTATGATAAAATTATGATTGCTCTGAAATCTTTTTTTGTACGGCTATTCTTGATTTTCAGAATCACGAATTCAAATTTCAAATAATATTTTTGTGATTAAACATCAGTTGGACATAGATCTTAATTATATTATAATCTACAAGTACATGACTGTAAATATATGTACACTAAATAAAATACAATACAATACAATAATAATAATAGATATATTTACCGGTATTCCATTGGCCCCCGGGAGGCCCGTGGGTCCTCTCTCTCCTTCATCCCCCTTCTCGCCCTTGAGCCCTGGTTCACCTCGATCACCTTTAGGTCCTGGTTCTCCTTTCGTACCTGAGAAAGGAAATAATAAAGATTATTTAATGTAATGTTCAAAATAATACTTACTAATTTTCATCGATATCTATTATTCTATTTGGAATTGAACCATCGGTAATTCGAATTTACTGTCAGCCAAAGAAATTAACATTGTGACGTTACATGAAGTCAAGGAATTTTCACGGCAATAGGGTACCACCAATCGACGATAGTCATAGTTTTGAAAAAAAAAAAAAACTGGGAGGAGGAAAAACCAACGAACAATTTGACCGCTTAATTGTACGATTGTTTTTAGAATATCGTTTCAAAACTGGCAAAGAAATATCCAGAGATCTTGCAGAGAGAAATCTGGTAAATAAAGTGGAATTAAATCAATTTTTTACAGGGCGATGCAATTTCTATGACCATGATTGTTCATGTTTTAGAAGCTTTCGACATTCCACTATATTTGGAATTATTGCCACCTTGTCTCACTCCAAAATTTGTTGCTGAACAAATTAAACAATGACCTATCAAAAAAGCCTCTGGTCATGGCCTGATAAGTGCTCCAGGAAACCCCAGGAAAGCTCTAGTTTATCTAAGGTCTGATTATGACACAAAACTTAAAACGACCAAATTCCTCTTATAATGGAAATGCTCATACATCACACCAATCTTCAAACAAAACAATAACAAATAAACCCCTCCATTTGAAAAACCCATGCTTCCAATGCATTCTAGAATCTTTGAGAAACTATTTTACAAACAATTTTTTGACAATGACAAACGAAAACATAAAACCCGACCATTAATATGGATTCCGACCACAGTGTTCAATCATCAATCAATTACGTAGGGTGACTGACTGCACTGCGATGGCACTAGAGCAAAAATTTCATGCTAGGAATATTTATTGATGTCGCTCAAACATCCAGTAAAGCGTGAACTATCTTCAAACTGAAGGCGATGTCCTCCCCCTATATATTACCTTGTTCTTCAATCCTTCCATTCCGACGGATTATCTTTGTCTGTCTCAAAAATTTCTATTATTCGGAAAGCCCAAGAAGGTATTCCACATGGCTCCGTACTCGCTCCACTGTTATACATCACGTACACACATGAGATTCCAACCAGTTTCGAAACTATTCTGTCTTCGACATGAAACTCACCCTCTTATTTGCCTGGAAAATATCCAAATTTCTCAAACAAAGAAAATTTAGTAACTTGGAATGATGTCCGACAGAAGTATGACACAGATTTTACATAGCAATAATAAAAAAAAAATCCTAAATATCAGACTGCTACACTCGTTCAATCCAAGGCTTTCAAAATTACAGTTAAAACAGAATATGAATACTTTCATTAGCACAATTGGACCTAGCGAAGCGTAATAAATCTTTATTTGAAAAACATATGAAGTTTTATTGCAACTGTAAAACTGTAAGGCCCTTGCCTTATGTAAAATAATGGTTCATGTAATCACGACAATATATCATGTTATCTGTAATGTATTTACTACCACTGAGAATATATACTCGGCGATAAAGCCAGTAAATATACTGGAAGATAACACATAATACAAACAACTAATAAGGACGACGGTTGTGGTCATGAGAGGCAGACAATGGGTGGAATGGTGGAGATTTAAGCACACTCCATTATAGTCCATTATGGTTTATGGTTGTGATATTGACTGGTCCTTCTCATCTCAGCCACTTATCGAGTTGAGGATTGATCTTCCGTCTGTATTATTATACCTACCGGTCGGTACTCCATAGCTTGTTTATTTTTTTTTATTTATTTTTTTTTTTGGCAATTCCTTTTTATTTATAAATAAGAGTGATTCTCCGAGAAGAGTGATATTATATTGAGTGTTAGAATTTCGACCATGTTTTTATGTTTTTAGTTACAACCAATGTTTACAACCAAGAAGACAGGACAAGGTATAGTACGAAGACTTAAATTTTTGTTTGTTTTGTTTTATAGGTTGATTTTGTTATAGATGATTTCAAGATTTCAGAGTATACTGAACAATTAAATATATATATATATATATATATATATATATATATATATATATATATATATATATATATATATATAGTCAATAAAATCTACGTTTTATTTTGTTTTTGTACTAAGAATGGTCTTCTGGCTGCGTTAAAATTAAGGGGTAGAAGTTAAATCTAAAATTGAATTAACTTTTAAAAGTTGATATATTGAAATTTTTCGAAATTTCGTAAACACTCGAGATTAATGACAATTCTGATAATTTTGTAAATAGATTGAATTAATGACAATAAACGAATATTTTATGACTCAGAGATCCATTGACATCTTTACCCTACAGGTTCGTGGACACAAAGGGCAATATATCCCGGCGATTTAATTGCTTTGCAAACTTAAATAATTTATTGCTTGTTCGGCAATTGATGTCTACGAATATTTAAACTTGGTAAAGTAGTCTGGCCACTCTGAACGAAACTTTAGACTCAGATGTTGCAGGCCCCAGTACACGGGACGAAATCTACATGTAGTAAAGTGTAGTACACCTTAAAATCTACCATTAATATTTTATTTGATATGTAGGTACATTCCCATAAAAAGGATAGTGTTTTTAGCCATTTTCTTCTTTATTTTTTTTTTTATATTTCATCTATTTTAACGGTATTTTTCCTTTTTTTTAGTATTGATTATTTACATCCTGACATATGATCACGAATTTACACATGATAAGATATGAAAGCAAGAAAAAATTCAGAATCCTATATGTTATTTCTAAAAGGTGTTTTTTTGTCGGTACGGCATAACTTCGTCAATTCTTCATCAAATCCAATGATTGACCACTCATTTTGAAGATATTCTTCTTCACATGCAAAAATGCTGTCATTATAACCGAAGACTAGAAATAAATAAAAACTTACATTATAATTACTACATTACTGAATTGCAAGCAAAATTAGTTTATGTTTTTAGGACATACCACATAGAACAAAAAAGAAATGAACTTAATCAGCGATACGGTCTTCTTTCTAGGCTACTTGACAGACGTTCTAAATTATCTGTGACTAATAAATTACCTATTTACAAAGTCCTCATTAAACCACTTTGGACATATGGTAATTGAACTATGGGGAACAGCAAAGAAATCAAATCATCATCCAGTCATTCCCGTCAAAAGTTCTTTGGAAAATTGTAGACGCACCCTTTTATGTTTCAAACCTTACGTTACACACTGACCTTAACTTTCCTTTCATAACGGCAACTGCCACTGACCGCTTTAATAATTTTCATGACAGACTAAATCTAAATTCAAATCCTCTTACTCAAGCTCTATCGACTGCTACAAATCCATATAATCCGCCCAGAAGACTGCTGAGGCTCAGGCCAAGAGACTTATTTCATTGAGCAACTACTTGCTGTATTTTCTTTTTTTGTGTGTTATTTTACTATTTTTTTTTTGGTTTTGTTGTTTGTCTTTTGTTTAGTTATTACTACTTTTTTATTTTTTTTTTTATGCTATCATTTTTTCTCCTTGATATCATATTTGCTGAATACCGACGTAGACGGCAAATTTATTGTGAGCCAGGAATATGTGTTACCAATAAATAAAATGTTTTAGGTGTATCTATCTATATTAGTATCTTGCAGACCGAAAATAATTTTTATGATTGAACATATTCACATAAATCAATTTAATTGTATATATAAAATTAAACTATTATGTTCTATAAAAATTTAAAAAGAAAAACAGTTGAAAAATTGTTTTTCATGGCTACCAAGCACCATAACTTCAAACTTCGAACATACAATAAGGTGAACATATTGTTAAAATAATAAATGTTTTATGTGTAAAAAAATAATTTTTAGTATTAATTAGTTAAAAAGTAATTTTTAAGATTAAATATTCATGTAATATTAAAAATAAATTAAAAGGATATCAATTTCAAGCTCGAATAATACCAAATTTCATACATAAAACGATTCTTTCATTTTCAGACTTGTTATTAAACGAATAGGATCCGTTTTAAAATGAATAAGACTGTTATCAAACGAATAGGTTCTATGAACTTTTTTTTTCAACAGTTCTTAAGAACTGTTATTTTAGGTCAACAATTCATTTACGTTTTTCAAAAGTAGCAGAAACGCCCATTTCTAACTATACTCAATGAATGGTAAAACGTTATAACTATAATATTTGAAATACGTTTTTACTAAGCATATTTAACAAAAGTTTTTGGTCAACGAACAGCTCATTTACGTTTTTCAAAAGTAGCAGAAATGTCCATTTCTAACTATACTCAATGAATGGTAAGACGTTATAACTAAAATATTTGAAATACGTAGTTACTAAGCATATTTAACAAAATTAAATTTTAAAAAATCAAATTCATCTTTGTAAAGTAGGAAATGTTTTTTAAAATATACTATTAAAGGAAATAAATACATTTAGATTTAATATATTTTTATTTATTTAAGTGTTTATTGACGACCAATAGGGTCATTTACACAAATTAGTTTTAATATTAATACATTATTATTTAATGTAATATTTTAAAATGCCTTAAATTAACTAGGGCAGTAGATATAAATTATAATTTAAGTAGAGAAACCGCACGCTCCCCGATTTGCCTTGATCCTGAACTGTTCCAATTATGTTGCGGGAAATCGTTGGTGAAAAAGAAACAAATTACTGTTTCCAGTATCTTCCATTTTGAAGTTTCCACGTGGCACAATTATCTCTTCCAACTTGTTTAAAGAAGATGTCTAAAATAATTGCTTCATCGTTCGAAGCTGCTTCATACTTGTTTTAAATACCTCATGAAAATCTCCATTTTAAATTTTTATTATAATAACTAAATGTTAAGTGAGATACATAACACTTCGAAGTCTTAAAATTTTATTTATATTTATATAAAAAGTATTGGACTGTAGAGATGGAGCGGCGTAGGTCAGTGGTAGAGAAATAAGCTTCCAATGCTCCCAGGTTCGATTCCTGGCTCATGGCAGAAAAATAATTTATTCGGTTTCATTGGCCGCGGGGTGACCCTGGTTTAGGGAGACCCTCTTGGGGCACACCCAGCCTCTATAAAGTGGGTACCCTTAATTAAATAATTGATTAAGGAGAATAATCTGGCGGTTGAGCGTGATCCTGGTCCGATCCCCTTCCTGCACACACACACACACACACACACACACACACACACACACACACACACACACACACACACACACACACACATATATATACATTATTACTACTATATTATACTACTAATAGATACTATATTATTACTACCCAGAGGGCTGGGGTAGCCGTATGGGCTAAGGCGCTTGGTATATGTAATCAAAGTTAAGCAACGTCGAGCGTGGTTAGTACTTGGATGGGTGACCGCCCGATTGGGGTAACCGTTCACCAGAGAAAAAGCCATGCAGCCCGAGTCTCTCTCCCCTTCCACCCAGGTATGTGAAGCCCGTCAGCCTATTGAAGGCAACTCACACCGACCGGGCGTAGGACTGATGACCCTACCCCGTGTAGTTAATCGAGAATCGCGATGTGGTCTACAAGGATGTTAGTAGCCACCCTGAGGTTCGGTCCATGGACAGTCTGTTTCGGAGGAAGAAATAATAGGTCCTCGTGCGCCTGCTGACTCCGTGCAGTCATAATCCATGAATCTATGCAGATTTGTCACTGTCCTTGAACCCGAGTGAGTCAGTGGGAAGGACACTGCCAGATTGGCCCCAAAGGGATCGGCTATGGATCTACGGGTGGCCTGCCGCTGCACCACCGTAACCATGATTCGTAGGTTGGGTGACCTCCTCCCGGCAATCTGAGCTCCCGCAAGCAACATACATCTGTAAAGAGACCACATCTCGCGGCCAAAGATCTTCAAGGTTTGTAGTGCCAACCGAAATATATATAAAAAAACTGTATAATAATATTAATAATTGAATAATGTAAATACAATAGTTGGCTCGTGCTAATAATTCCATAGTGTATTGCTCAGTGAACAAATGATAATATAGTATGTAAATAATTAACTCCAATGTATTATAAGAGGGAGGAATAATTTTCTTTTCCTTAATTAATTCTTCGATTAGAAAATGGTTCGGGTCTTTTTTTACTTAAGTATTTATCCTATGTACCCTGCCCCATTCACTGTCCACAAAAAAAGTGTAAACCGCGCCTAAAGAAGTTTTCACTTCAAAAACCTTTACAAAAATCAATAAAGACTATACTATATGAGCCTTTCAATTGATAAAATGACTAACTCCTATTTCGAATTTTTTTATTATTATTTTAGTGGTATTTCTAGTGGAAAACCTTATAAACTAGAAATATCACTAAAATTACATTACTGGAAAATGTTGATATTGGAATTAATCATTCTATCAACTGAAAGGCTCGGAGACTGAAATTATGTGGTTTATAAAAAAAGATGGATTAACTAGATTTTTATTGCCTACGGTCGATATAATAAATAGACTTTTTGTAATTTTAATGGTCTTGATGATTTGTTATCTGTAAGTTATAAGCTTCAGCTCCGTTTAAAATGAACTTGGAAAATGTTATTGTTTTTCTGTCAACTGAAGACAAATATGATAGTTGTCAAATATGTCGAAGTAACTATTAAAAATATCGTCATTTTGAGTCTCATTGCTTTTATTCTTCCAAAGAAGGGGAACGGAATCAACATTGAATTAAGTCAAATTTGTAACAGATGTAATAGACATTTATATATATAAGTAATATATAAATGTTTAGTTGTTTCTAT